AGGGTGGGGGAGGTAGGCAGTACTGGGACCAGAGTCAAACTAGCAACAAGGCTCAGAGTGGCCGTGCCTGGCAATATTCATTCATCCTGGGTATAAGTCAATATCTAGCACTCCTCCATACATGTTCCAGAAACTCTCCATTCATCACCTCATTCCTACCAAATACACTGAGGGTAAGAAAGCCAAGAATTACTGCCAAGGCCCAGGACCTAGGGTGAGCAGCAGATGACCTCAGGCCCCCAAACCAAAGTTCAATTTATGTGCATCCAAGAGTCTGGCTGTAGCCAGTGGGACAGGCTGAATCCAATGGCTGGTCTCAGGCTTGCCAAGGAAGTAAACTACCACTGCTAATCCCCTGTGCATTTGAGTTGGCAACAAGGACAGGCCCTTGCAGCAGACTTGACTACCTCTTCACCCCCTTCCCAGCAATAACAGCAGAATGCTGCAGGAAGTGTATGAACATTTGGTGGTTCTTACAAGAAAGCCCCATACAAATTCTAGGTGCTTTTATCATCGCCGAGTCTACCAAGCAAGATTACAGGCAGCTCTAAACCTTCTGCCTCAGGAGCTCACTCTGATCCTACAGAGCAGAACAAGTTTGCAAAGTAAACACAACTTCTCTTATGGCTCCACCACACAGGGCCAGGAACTAGACAATTTTCACCTGTACAGACGTCAACCCAGAAATACCAAGGAGATGATATAGCAACTGGGTAAAATGGGACACACTGCTGTTCAGCAGTTGTGGGAACAAACTCTGGAGTTGGGGTCTCAGCACCATACAGCTTAGACAAGTGGCTTAACCACTCTGTGCTTTGGCTTCCTTCTCCATGAAATGAGGACATTGACTTTCTCTCTTATAGCTGTTGGGAAACAATTTCCTGTAAAGCACTTAGCCCAGAGCCTGACCCTCCTGAGCAATCAAAAACTGCTTGCTTCTAAGTCACCCCTCCAGCTACTGAGAATGTGCAAGGCCAGGCCCCCACCTGATGTCTTCTCTGTCGGAGCCAGGAGAGAACTTTGCCCCAACACTAAACAAAGAAGAGTGAGCAAAGGGAAAATGGGGCATTGCTTCTCTTCACATCCTCCTTCAAAGTACAGCAGACTTGAAGACATCCTGACAGGTGTCAGAGGAGGAAGAAGGAAGATGGGGGCATGCCCGAGGGGGAGGGGAAATAAGAAGACCTGTCTTTCCCTATCCCCAGAGGGTGTCTATAACCCCACAGGAGTCAGTGGCCAGGAAAGGCCTTAGACGGCCTCCCACGGCAGCCTGTACTGGTGAGCACATTCATTAACTTATTAACAATCAGGAACTCTCAACAGTACAGGGTCAGGGACACAATAGCTGAGCTTCAGGGCTGGAAGGAAGTTTGGAAGTAATTTGGTCCACCACGTTGTCGACTCCTGCCCTTGAAGCCACCCCAGAGTCTCAGGTAGCCGGTCTTATCAGGTATTGCAATGAACCATCTGTGGATGTGGTTTCTTACCAGAGTGCCCCTCCTCCTCCCCACCCCTCCCCTTTCCCCAGGCTCCCCGCTCAGGACTCTGCCAGGGTGGCGGGGAATGGTCACCGAGGGAAAGGCTCGTCGTAGGTGGTTTCTGCCTTCCCAGCGTCAGGAGATTCGGGCACCTGGCCCCTTTCCCAAGCTTGCCTCGCAGGAAGTCGGAGAAGAAAGAGCCCCATGGCTGCGCTCCTGGTTAGTCCGGGAGGAAGGCGGACTCCCGTCCACAAATCCCAAATTGCAGAGGAAAGAGGGAGGGATCACTTGTAAGAGCAAAAAGCTAGAGCCCAGGAGAGAGAAGTCCGGAAAAGCTGTCAGGAAGTTCCGAGGAGCGAGGGTCCCCTTGACAGATTCAGTCCCACCCCATCCCCCATAGTCACCCTGCTTGGCGGTGGCGGCAGTGGAAACTAAGAACCGTGCCGGGTACCCGACACTTGGTTAGCGCTTCGGCGAGGATCCCCACGCCCGCACATCCCGGAAAAGCAGGAAGCCGACATCCCCCTTCCCACTTTACCTGCGGCGGCTGCGCGGCGTGCGCGGCCCGGGGCGTGGTCTGGCGGGACCTGGCCGGCGGGGCGGCGAACCCACCACCTAAAAGTTACAAAGTGAAACTCTGCGCCTTCTGCACATGCGCAGAGCTGTGTCCAGCGATTGCCCAATTTGGAGCGTTCACCCGCGCCGGCGCAGCCGGTACGCAGCCGGCCGTACTTCATCCTGTGCCCCTCGGCGGTTTTCCGCCCCAGCGGGGCCCGGGATAGCTGGTCAGTCCTCCCAACTTCTCCTAGCGGGCTGCAAGCCCCGGCCTGGCCAGCGCGCGTCCTGGGGCCGAGGAGGGCGCTGCCGGGTCTATCTCTTCAGCCGCCCGGAGCTGTCCCTACTCCCGGACACCTCGGGGAGACCCAGGCCAAGCGCAGGGTGGTTGCGGCGGGGAATGCGCGGAGAGAGCATCTGCAAACGTTCGCGATTGTGCTTTGAATTTCTCCGACGAGTTCTTAGGCCCTCCGTGGGGAGTGGGGATGGCAGGGTGAGAGGATAAGGAGCTCACCAGGACTTAGCGCGCACTCGGCTTGAGGCAGTCTGGGGTCACCCGGAGCCCCCTGCAAAAGGACACGGCTCCCCGATACCTATAAGGGATCGGGACCGTGAAAGCCCTGAGAGTCTCCGTTCTGCCCCCAACGGAGGTCGCAGCATTTCCAACTCTTCCCGGGACCCAGCTACCGCCCAAGTGACGCGGCCAGGGCACGGACTCCAGCCCAGCTCGCCGAGCGCCAGGGGCTTCCAGTGAACCAGTGGGCTCCGCAACTGGACTGCAAGTTCGCTGAGGGGAGGGCAGGGCAGGCCTCACCATGCAGGATGCTGGATGTGCACTGCGCAGAATGCAAGGCAGTATTCAAGGGGGACTACACGCCCAGCGCACCTTCCCCGGCAAACTGCCACTCTCGGCAGACCTCGGTTTCCCCATCTGTGAAATGAACGACTGGACCAAAGCTTCCTCTCCAGGCCTGTCCAGCACTAAACATCCTGAGTTCTGAACAGCTCCTCACCCCCTGCATGGACAGCTTTGCCGGTTCTCTGACCTCTCTTCCATTTCTGAGCTTTTTATCTTTCACTGTTATGATAAAAATATCCTCCTTGCCTCCCTGCCCCTGATTCTAGCACCAGCCTCTGGCTCTCCAGGGGTGGGGCTGGGTTTCTCTTCCTGCCTCTATCAATTCTCTTCTGTCCCATCTGGTTCCTCCTTCTCTCCCCCTGAGCCTCTCGCCGCTGGTCCTTTCCCAGAGCTTTCCCTCTGCTCCGGCCCAAGTTCTGCTCTAACCCTCCACAGCTGCACCATCTCCTCTTCCCTGCTCTGTCACCTGCTGCTGCCAAAGAGCCGCACCTGACTCCCCGGGGTCCCGGGTGTGGCCCCCTGGACTTCTCCTGGGCTCCTCAGACTCACCCTGTCCAATCTCCTTCCCACTCCCCCCCCCCCCACCTGCTGGTCCTTATCCCTTCCCTGTCCTAACTGTGCCACTACCTGACTGGTCTGTGCCAAGGGTCCAGGGAAGTGCAAGATTCTGGCTCCAATAATCAGCATAATGGAGCCACTGATAAGAAAGGGAGAGAGATGGTTTCAGAGAGGGAAATGATTTCTAAATTTGTTCTTCAGTAAATGTACTCAAAATTAAGAGAAGGCATTGATGGATCAGAACATAAGTTGATATAGCCATAGCACCCCCCCCCCCCTTTTTTTGAGACAGAGTCTCACTTTGTCACCCTTGGTAGAGTGCTGTGTCATCACAGATCACAGCAACCTCTAACTCTTGGGCTCAAGCAATTCTCTTGCCTCAGCCTCCCAAGTAGCTGGGACTACAGGCACCTGCCACAACACCCTGCTATTTTTGTTGTTGTTGTTGTTGTCATCATTGTTGTTTAGCAGGCCTGGGCTGGGTTCAAACCCGCCAGCCTGGATGTATGTGGCTGGTACCATAACCACTGTGCTACAGATGCCAATCCTAGCCATAGCCCTTGTTGTGTCAGTGTGTGGAGTGCTTGTAAAATCACTATTAAATGTCCTGCAAAAGTATGGAAGGCAGGGATTGTTTTTATTTCATAAAGCCGGAAATGAAGGTTTAAGGATATCGAATTTACAGCTAATAAGAGTTGTGTAGACTGGCAAATAACCCAAGATGTTCATGTTCCAGGCTGAGATGCTGCATCAAGGTCACAGCTTAAAGGCCCCTGTAATCTTGGCATTCTAAAATGTAGTGAACATTTGCTCCTTTTGCCCAAAATCCAAAGGAGTGACTCACATTCTTGTAATATCAGTGATGATCTTGATAACAGTTTTTTTTTTATTTTGATGCAAGTAGAACCAAACTAAAGTCTAATCACTGTGCCCAGAAAAGTCAAAAAGTCAACAACAGTAACAAAAAGATTTCTCAATCTGAGTGGCCAGACACCACAGATATAAGCATCTGAATGCATTTTGATCCCAGCTTCCTGTGTTACTTAGCCAAGACCCTTACCAGGTCTTGGCCAAGTCAAGCTCTTTCTTTGGCTTTACAATCAGGTTCACCTATAGAACTTTCTGCTTCCTCTTCAATTAGCAGAGCTTCAGTTAAAATAGAAAATTATAAAAGTACCAAATAAAATGTGTTTTACTCATGTCTTGCAAAGCTTGTTACCTGGGATGGGGACATCAACCCACACTTCACCTCAGATCTTAAATGAGAACTCAGCCCAGATCCAGGAAAAGGAGAAATTGACAAACTGGAGTTTCTACCCTTAGGTTAAAGGATCTCCACTTGTAAGGGCTTAGGACGTAGTGCAAGCAATAACGGGAACAGAGAATATTGGGCAGGGGGTACCCAGTGGCCAAGAATTCTCTCTCCTGGGAAGCAAAAATTACGTGAGTGAATTTGTCAGAGGAAACAAATTTGAGCTCAGTGGAAAGCGGAGAGCTTGTGCCTATCAGCAGTTCAGTAGTCCCTAGTTCTCCTGGGAGCCCTAGAACACTTAAGACACAGAAGTCAAATGCCTTGGTGGCTGCACTGGCACATATGGCTCCAGCCTCCTTGGCACCAGTGTCCCATCAGAGGCACAATCGTACTTCTGCACCCTCATGTTTGGCAGGCTGACCACCTGGGGCCTGGTCCTGTCTCCCTCTCTGATGCTGATGATCACGGGCAGTGAGGCCACCTCCGAGGGGATGCACTGTCGCAGCCCCAGAAACGGCCACTTGGATGTCAGGGGCTCTGGGAGCTGCTGGCAGGTGCCCACACACTCGAAGGCCAGGAAGCCTAGGGGCTCCAGGACCCAGTTCTCTGCCCACTTCATCCCCTGCAGGTCAATGTACATCTGGCGGCAGCAGCGTGTGCTCTCAGTCACTGGCACGTCAGGGTCACAGTCCCCCTGAGCTCTGTGTGGGCAAGGACAGGGTCAGAGGTCAGCTGGGAGGGCTGAGATCAGGGGCACGTGGGAAGGAAATTTATGAGCCATCTCTCGTTCTGTTCAGTAATGTTCGGGATATGGCATGGGTAGCTAGAAATAACTAAAAAACATTAATAACTGATATTTACCAAGAACCTCCCTAGGGACAAAGGAAGAATTTTTTTTTTTTTTGAGACAAAGAGTCTCACGTTGTCCCCCCGTCAAGTGCTATGGCGTCACAGCTCACAGCAACCTCCAGCTCTTGCACTCAAGAGATTCTCTTGCCTCAGCCTCCCGAGCAGCTGGGACTACAGGTCCCTGCCACAACACCCGGCTAGTTTTTTTGAGTCCGGGTCTCACTCTTGCTCAGGCTGGTCTCCAAATCTTGAGCTCAAGCAATCCACCCACCTCGGCCTCCCGGAGTGCTGGGATTACAAGTGTGAGCCGCTGGACCTGGCCCGAAGGAAGAATTTTATACATGTCATTCGAATTGTTCCCATAGCATCCTGAAAAGTTGTCCATGACAAATTCAGTTTAATTGCCTATTTGTCTCTTTATTCGGCACATCAGTTTGGCCCTCAGCACCTACCCATAGTCCTTGAGGTCCAGGGTGTGCAGCTCCAGCTGGGGCTCAGCGTGCCTGGCGCCCAGCGCACCCTGCCAGGAGAAGCGCACCAGCTTGTGGGCACTGGAGGCCTGCGGGCCCAGATGCTCCCTCTGCACCGACACCTGCAGCAGCAGCGGCTGCAGGGGCCGGCTTAACTGCTGCCAGAAGTTCACGGCCTCGATCACATCGAAGGTCTTCCAGCCGCTCTCGTGGACCCACACCAGCCTGAGACAGGATACCGTGGCAGAGACAGCTCTGTGAGGGGCGGGGACTGGGACCGGCTGTCCTGAAGGCCC